TATTTCCCACCAAAAGTGCAAGAAACCACAAAGTTTGATAACTAAATACAGTGATGAACTTGAGTAATTGTGAGAAAACTATTTTTCTTCACAGAGGCCGTGACCTGCTGACCCTGATATAAACAGGCTTTTCATTATTCAAAGTGCAATGTTTATAGTTTTTGTGCAGATCTTATATGGCCACCCCTTCTGCACCGGGGAAGTGGCCTTATAAGGCGGGTGGCCTTTCCAGAGGGGGACTCAATTTTTTGTGAGAAATATATGTTTGTAGTAAGAAAGCTTCATTTCTCAAAGCATTTAATATCTTCGTTTAAAAGCAACATTAACTATTGAACGGTTCTTGTGCTATAATAGTTCACTTATTTCAACCAAATATGCATTAATATTTCTTATTCTTGGCATAAGCATGATATTCGAGTGGGTGTTGTCATGCAGAACCATTCAAAAACGTCATTTAAATCTTGGTACATACACATTTCTCTTTCCATTTGCTCCATTTTCCCACTGCTGCTAAATAACTTATCGGTTACGATGTTATTTTTTTGAGTATTTTCAACAAAAAATTGTTTTTTTCGAGTCTTTTCTATCTAAATTTGTTTGAGCAGTCCCTCTCCCCACCTCACCCAATATCATAGACTATAATAACTTCTCCGTTTATGTGATGACATGTTAATGTTTGGGAATGAGTTATTACGATGTTGCTAACTGTATGCGATTACACATTTGTTGAGTGGACAAAATGCTTTTTTCCTAAGGTAGTGACATGTTGTGTTGTCACCTGATATTTCGGTCTTTGTCTTGTACCCTGTTTCTATTTTTAGCCAATGCTGACATGTGATCATGACATTAACTCCAGTTATAATCATCAATGTTGCAACTACAAGACTGATAAAACAAGATACCATATATTTTTAAAGGCAGCGATTGTCATCTGGTACCCTACTGTTTTTACATTTCTTGACTCTAGTGCCAAAATTGAAAATAATCAAAATCAGCTTGGATATGTACACAGATTTGATCTGAACACTACTATTATAAGTGTAATCTTAACAATTAACCAGACATCTTATGATAACATGCAGGAAGGATATACAGATTACATGTACTTACCTTTTTGTATGGATTAAAATTTGAGTCTTTCTTGGCTTTATGGAATAAATGTGGTGAGGTGTAAATGATATAATATTAACTTTAGTGGTACATGTACAACACTTTTTTGCAGAACTTAAAACTTGGAAAACTCGAAAACCTGACATTGGGAAACAGAAATTGGATTACTTAACACAATTAGAAAAATATTGTTCTGGATACATATTACAAAATGAAATGCGGCGGCTTGTGATGGGTAAATTTTATAATTTTGCAAAAAATATGCTGGCCGCATTAGCTGGGTGGCTTTTCGTGAGGTGTAATTTTGAACACAAATTCGTTGGTGCCTTCAGATTCTGGCCATAAGGATCGGGTGGCCGCTGGTGAGGGGGCCATTCAAGAGGGGGACTACTGTATTTGGTCAATCACCACTGACTTTTGTGCCCTGAAATAGACCCGACTGTTCCTTACCCAGGTGCATGCCAACCACAAAGTTTGGTTAAATGTTGTTTATTTTGGGCTTAACACCATTTTTCAGCACACAACAGGCTATGTATGGCGGCCAGTATTAATGGGGGAGGAAGAAACAGGGAAATCTGCAGAAAGAACCACCAATCCATCCAGAAACTACTGGCAAGCTTTCTCACATATCCAGTTTTTCCGGAATCTAACCCATGCAAAGGTGAGATGGCAGTGATCCATAACAGAGAGTGCTTTAGACCATGTAGATAACTGGGGCATCTGAGTATTTCAAAGAATGATTTGTTTTATTTACATAATGATTCATGCCAGAAAGATAGGATTCTGTGAATAGGCAAAGGAAAAATAAATAAATTAATAAACTGAACTAAAATTGTAATTTAAATTTTCTCTAAGTCACCTTAAACAGCCAAGTACATCCCTCACAAAATCAACTTAGTTTCAAATTGATTCATCAGAAAAATGAAGAAAAAGCATCAACAGGTTTAAGAAAATAAGGATAGAAGAAACTTTAAGCAAAAACTTCATGTAAGTTTTTTAATTATGACCTTGAGTCCTTGTTGTTGGGGTATGTGTGCCATTCATTTCATAATGATTAATGCCATGCAAGATGAGCATCTATGAAGAGATTTAAGAAAATATGCAAATTAATTAACAAAAACTTGAATGTAAATTTTCATTGACAGCAATCTCGACTCCATTATCATAGGGGTAGGTGAGCATGTTGCAGAATTAATTGTTTTAGCTTCAAAATCATTAATTCCAAGAAAGAAAAACATCCATCTAAGAGTTTAGAAAACGTAAGCAAAATTGGCAACTATTTCATTTTAAGCCAGCTAGGCATCATAAGTCATTGTAAAACTTCAAGTAAATATCACCATCCATAAAGGAGTAGCAATATTAAGATTGTCAAGTTGGAAGTTAGATCAGAATCATTTTTAATTATGATGCACAACAGTAATACTGAAGAGGACTACACAATGCAATATGATAATCCAAATGTACTGCATTTATCATATACCATATTTACCCTTATATAAGATAATAATAACTGGAAAAATGTAGACTAGACCAGATCAACATTTGTATATCACACTGGCAGATCAAAATCCATGTGACTATATATATATATATATATATATATATATATATATATATATATATATATATATATATATATATATATATATATAAAATTTTACCAGTCCTTTAGATTGTTTAAAATCATGTGACATGGGACACTATAACTTTTTTTTGTACCTAAGGATGGAAAGGAACTGCTTATGTATCCATGTGTACTGTATCTACTTTCTTAGAAGTCTTGTCCAACTGCAAACAAAGATCCTAACCTGCCATAGCATGTGCTGGCATATCAGTTTAAATTGTTTGTTCTATTGATTAATCCTAACAAATTAAACTAATGCAGATCTGCTTGCACATTTTGGGTCTGTGTAATTTGCAGTTAGATTTGATTTTATTGTTGTTGTGCTTAATGGCTTTTTTCAGCACACATAGGCTATTCATGGCGGCTAGTATTAATGGTGGAGGAAGAAACAGGAAATCACCAGAAAGAACCACCGACCCACGAGAAGCTACTGGCAAGCTTTCTCACATATCCACATTGGAAGAATCCTAGACTCAACCCAGGAAGACAGAGGTGAGATGGCAATGATCGGTAATGGAGAGGCTTTAGACCACTGGACACTGGGGCCCCCAGTTGGTCTTATAAGCAAGTACATATGGGACTTCATTTATGCATTGACAATATTTGTTAAGAATACTTAAAATAGTGTTATCTTATTTATTCTCATGAGCCATTTTTATTATTTTTGTAAAATTTTAATCGAAAGAACTGAAATTCAGATTTTATAAGATTCAAGAAGTTATAAAGCTTGAAATCACTATAGCTGTTCATGCAGTAGGCGTAATTAATCTTCATGCTTCATGAATTCTAAGTTCAATTCTAAAAATTGTCATGCAAATAACAGACACTGATCAGCTGTAAATTATTTGACAGCATATCTAGGTCAATGCCACTGACAGTCAGATTGGCAGTACACAGAGGTAATACAACCCTGGCAGATTGGAGATGACACCATTGTTTTTAATGACTATGCATGTGGTAGAGAAAAATGCTGCTAATTAATATGCTAGGTGCTATTATTACAGGAAATTAAAATAATCTTTTTGCACTGTCTGGCGCACTGACAAGCCCATCCTAACTGTGCTGTACACATATCCAATATTAGGTCATTCACAGTCAAGAAAAAAAACAAAATGTCTATTGATCCCTTATTTAATTACAAAGATAATCAATTTTTCAACCTTACATAATGTGTGTGATGTCTGGCCTGAATCCCTAGTGATTCAGTAATATACAGAACATCCAATGAGGACTGAGCTTCAAAATGATACAGTGCACAACTCTGTGTTAATTTATATTTTATTATCTGTACTAATGAGCTGCCTAAATGGTGAACAGGCATGTCAGTCCTATATTGTAGAGGAAGACCAAGGCTGGTCTATTTTGTAGAGGAAGACCAAGAAAGAACTACTGGCCCACAGGAAGCTGCTGACAAGAGTTTTCACATACCCATGTTTTGATTAGCATCAACAGAAAACTGACCACTAACACAACAGACTTTCAAAACTGTATAAATTCTAAAAGACTAAAAGATATTTTGCCAATTTTTCCTCTGTAAATAAAACAATGTGAAGTTTTCTTCATAGACCAAGTGCTCAGTAAGAAAAATTTAAAGTCATGTGCAAATTCTCAAGTAATCTATTTTGTTTCTTTTGAACCATAACAATTATATCTGATCTTCAGTGACTGGTACAAAAAAATCAGATTCATGTTTTTAAATTTTAATATTTCTACATACAATATGTGGCATTATGTCCTAGTGATAGACAATACTATAAATTGTCACACTGCAGACATTGTAGTGATAAGACTGAATTTTTTTAAAGTTATGTTACAAATCCAGAATGCATGCGCGCGCACACACACACACACACACACACACACACACACACACACACACACATAATGAGTGTCTATCTGTCTAACCACATCTTTATATCCTTTCAAATGCAAGGATATAAATGGGTCAAACAAGTTGCAGAATATGGAAAAGCAGATAATGTTATCAAGAGGTACCTGTGTTTCAAATTCATGTCACAATTAACATTTGCTTTTGTGGAAACTATGATGCATAAAAAAATGCATTTTGAGACCAATGTACAAGCAAAAGATTTCAAACCAGTCAGATGGGCAGGAAGTACTGTACAATGAAGTATCATGCCCAAGAAATTTAGCATCAGGTCAGGTCGTCACGTTATACTGACACCAAGTCAACCAGTCATAATACCATCTACTTAAAGCTGGGCACCAAACAGGGAAGATGTATCATTTTTATAAGTCTTTGGTATGACTAGGCTGGGGGTCGAACCCACAACCTCCTACTTCCAAGGTGGATGCTCTAACCACTAGGCTATCTGAGTGGTTGCCTCCATCAATGCCCATAAATTTTACAAATAAATATATGTGTGTGTGTGTGTCTGTGTGTGTGTGAAGAATTAGGTGTTGAGCTTTAGCTGTCTTTCAGTTTTCATGCATAAAGTAAGATACACTATGATGTCTTATATATTTCTTGATAATAGCTGTAATTTTAAGGTTTGAGTAAAATCTTTTTGCACTTAAGCAGAAACAGGGATAGGAGCATCAATAAACTTTGCCATTTTATATCTAATAGTATCTGCCATGTGTCAAATTGTATATGTCATGTGCCAAATTGTTTCACCACAAATTGTCTATTTTCCTCATCTTTCTTCTCCAATTTATACTTCTATAACTCATTGAATATGTCTGTACCTGTCTAATTACTGTATTGTCTGGCATTTTTGTACCCTCTACATTTTTTTCAACTAAGTACATGCATAAACCAATTTCTGGATCCAAAATGCCTTTTTCCTAAAAAAAAACATTGCTGCCAATTTGAGGTACATTAGAAATATTAATTCTCTCTACAAACAACTATATCCATGCCAAGATTTTTTTTGTAAAAAGCGTACATAAATTTGCAATGAATAAAGTAATAATAATTAAGCAACTATCTTTATTATTAATTGTCTAAATACTAGCTTCTAAAGGTTATCTAATTGTGAAACTAATGGGGTTTCCTCAAATATAACATAAGTTATCTGAAATTTAGACAGCATATCAAAGTATCTGTAATATATTCTTTTTGCTTAATTTCTGTTGCATTGGCTTACCTTTCTTTACCGCCGTTAAGAACACAAATTAAGTCTGGAGAAGTAATGGTTCATGAGGAAATTAATAATATCACCTTGCAGCTCATCTACCTAAAATGAAAATACAAAATTTCTACATTTATATGAATAATAAGTAATCATAATTTTTTCACTTCTTTTTCTTTGATTTAATAAAGAAGTTCAATTTCACCAGCAATTTACTTGTATAGATAAAATAGATAAAAAAATTTCTGCCACATTATAGCACCATCCAAAAGATGGTAATCTGGAAGGACATCCAATGACCTCTACTTGTCTTTGACCAGTTTAACTAAAAATGGCTCCCCTGCCAATATTTAGTTAGAGGAAATAAAACAAAAAAATAAACAGAATCTGCTTATAAAGGCCACTAGACAATCCACAAAGTTTTATTCTTGGTGAACAAGTAATGTCATACAAAAGCTGCAATACAATTAACAAAAAGGATATTATGTTATCTTAATAGCAGCATATTTTATATCTGGCATCAGCTAAGACTGACTTCATTGTAATTCTCTTTGCATGTTATGGCTTCTTTTTTTTCTTGTGGAAAACTATGTGGTCACTCTTTTAAAGTTTTTCTGTGGTCATCAGAACAATGATTGTGCTTCTGTTGCATTCATATAATTTTAAGTTTTAAGCAGATTATTTCAAACCAATATATAATTTCTTTCCCTTTGCACTACTTTTTTTTCAACTGTGGTAAAAAAAAACAACAAATCTCCAAGATAAAAACTGAACTGACCTGCTGACAAGTGTTACTGATGAAAGTGATCCCAATAAAGCAATGCTCAATCGGATTGTGAACACATTTAGATTTTCTTCTCTCTAATAAGGATCTATATAGAGTCCAGTACATTATACACTCCTCACACTCTATCTTCCCAAGTTCTATAAGAACACACTAGTAGGACATTGTTGTCTCTGGAGATTACTGACTAATGAATTTCAATGACCTTGACCTTTAGTCAGGGTGTGCAGTGTTTAACTAAATTAAATGTGAAAACTATTATTTTATTACTAGACTAACCATGATCATGCCCACTGACCATCAACCAACAATACTATTGGTTTCTTTCTCACAGTAAGAGCAAACCAAAGTTTGGTAATGAAACCTACTCTTGAATAGAAGTTATTACACAAGATTATTTTCTTTCAGACACAATGACCTTTGACACTTTGACCCATATCAACAAGTCTCTTTCTTACCCTAAGTGCAAGCACTCCAGAACCTTTGCTCAATTTATGTGATCTAGAAGTCAAGTTTTAAATTGAAAACCAATTTTCTTCTTAGAAATCAATATAAAATGTACCTTTATCCTTATGCTCCAAGATCAATAGATGTCTTTCTTATCTTATAGACAAGTGATTTACAAAGTTTGGCTATGTTGCCTGGTAAACAATCTTGTTCATTTTGAGGAAACAGTTTCCCTTTTCTGTCTCTGTGACCTTGACCTTTCAGCTTGATCCCAAAATTAACAGATTTTGTCTTTTGTCTAAAAATGCAAGCTATCTGCAAAGTTTAGTAACAGTAGATGTTGGAGGACATGAATTGTAACACCTAAGGCTCAATCTTGTGACACACATATAAAAATAACAATTACTGCATATCTTTATCACAATTTCCCTTCAGCAAAAATTACTCCATATAATAACATGTTTATAGAAAGCAGATTAATTTTTGTGGTGACAAATAATGGAGACATGTGAAATGAGAAACAGCAGTAATAAAACTATTGGACATTCACTTTAAATTTCAAATTTGTTTTTAAAATAAACAAATAATTATAAATAAATAAATATAAATTAACTTAATAAACTGAACAGAAAAAGTATGTTAAGAGCTGTGAAGTATTTTATAGCTCAGATATGAACATGAATATGAAGTAAAATGATTTTTGTGCAATTTCATAAATGATTTCAATGCCAGATAGGTAAAAGCTAAGATTTTTACAGCTGTGCTTTGAGGAAGGTTTTGCAAATTATCACAAACTCAAGGAGTCCCAGGTGGCTGAGTGGTCACTTGCATTTACAGAACACTTAACATCCCACATCTGTCCATGTGGGTTTGAGTCTCAACTTGGCCACTGTGTACCTGTATGTGAGAAAGCTACCTGAAGCTTCCCTTGGGTCATCGATTGTTCCTCCACCAACATACTGGCCACAGTGTTTAGACTTGCATGTACTGAAAATTTATATTAAATCCACAAAACCAAGCCAAGAAGTCAAGTAAGGGCAAAAACACTATTCTGAAGAAAAAAATTACATTTTCCAGCTTATCTTAACAAATTTTTAAATATGAAGTCAATATATTAGGGTTTTAAGTACAGGGATAAAACAAAAGAAAAGGTGTAACATAGGCCCTCTCATTATATGTGAACTTAGCAGGTGAATGATAACTTATCTACAGGTATATTTCAGGTCATAGATAGTGAGGAATTAGCCTTGCTGATGACAAGCTAGGATTATGGCCCTTTGAGGACATGTATATTGCCCTCTTCAGTTCTTAAGTATGGCATGCACTTCCTTTTGTAACCCAAAGCTACATCTCCAAGCAGGTAGACATGATCCTACAAAGGCTTGGTGCAATGAACACTTTATAATTAAATCCACTGATAAAGGTCAAACTACAAATTCAAGATACATGGCATTTATCCAGCAAAATTGACAGAATGTTCTTTTCAACCTATCTTAGATGATAAATGTGTACAGCCGAATTTATTATTAATATGTTTTTCTTAATCTAAATAGGCTCAAAATATTTAAAGATAACTGAATACCACATGTGACACTGACCTTACCTTGACTTTAAAAAGATGAAAAAAATGACACAAAGTGCCTTCTCCAAGTTTCATGTACATCAGAATAAACATTCCACCTCGGCTTCTCTTCATTTACAAAATAAATGTGTGTGTGTGTGATAAAAAGCAATTTTAATGAATAAAGATAAAAATTACAGTTGTTTATCTTGATTATCACACTGTGATAGTGTTATGGAAATGGCATTACAATGCATGCATAGAAATGGCATAACAATGCATGCAAAAAAATACATGTGACTGCTCCAGTAGCCTAAGTGGTTTGAGCATCTGCTTTAGATGTGGGTTTGAACCCCGGCTGAGTAATACCAAAGACTTATAAAAATGCTACTAGCACCTGACTCACTTGGTACTCATCATTAGATGACTTTGGACTTTTCGGCCTGGTGTCAAAATAATGTGACTTGGTGGATCATGATGCTATATGTCTATGGCATGATACTCTAGTGCTAAACATCACTATAAACTGCCACACTGCAGACATCATAGGGATATGACTAGGAAATTGTTAAAGCCACATTTAAAAAATTTCAAATCACTGAATCCAAATTTAAAATATACATGTAATAGATAACAGTAGACATTACCAATGAAAACCGCAAAAATTACTGAATACTTAAAAACTTATGTCCACCATTAAATAACTTAGATAAGTTCAGCTGGTAAAATAATTTGAATAACTGTTCAATATTAACATCTTTATGCTTAGTGTTAGTAACTTAGTAAGTGCTTGATTATGGTTGTTGATCCAGAAGTCAAGCACGTGCAGTCTGATCACTGTTAATATCAACAAATGCTCCTGGTTTTCCTATGTTCACAAAAAATTTACTGTTTTCAATTTTCACATATCAGCTTGTTTTAAAGGTGGCATTTATTCAATGTAGTATTAATTCATGCAAACATGCATCATAATGAAAACAGTAATAATATCATAAAATTTGCGATGAATAAATTACTCCTTGTCAGGTCAAATAATTTTCAGGTACTAAAATGCATAGAAAGGAAAAATGTTAAGATACAGAAATTCACTGACACATCCACAACAAAATAAATTTCCAAATTTGTATATAATGTATGCTCCCTATGAAAACCAGTCCTACTGTGAAGAAAATAGAGCTTGAATGAATGTACTGGCAAATTAGGGTCTTTTTTGTGTGTTCTACTAATTATTCCTAATAAAGTGCACAGAACCAGATCTACTGGCCTATCATACAATAAGAGATTAGGGTCTGTGCAGTTAGCAGTAGGTTCTGACTTTGTGCAGTTGGCAATTGGATCTGCTTAATATGCAGTTATACTCAGTAAATGACCATGTAAAAAGCCAGCCATGTTTTTCTATGCAATCTCTCTCATTATTGTTCATTTTTTAAAAAAATTTTTATACAAA